ATGTATTCGCCAGGTTGTGCCAAGAAATCTGGAGGACACCTATTTGGTCACCTGGCTGGAAGAACTCCATATTTATTCCTACCCCCCAAAAAAGGTGATCTGACAGTGTGTGGAAATTATCGAACAATATTACTAATATAACATGCAAGCAAAATCCTGCTGAAGATTATCCAAAAACCACTGGAACAGTACATCAATAGAGTACTACCAGAAATACAAGCTGGGTTTACAAGAGGCTGTGACACGAGAGACATTATCACCAATGTCAGATGGATCTTGGCTTAAAACAAAAAGTAACAGGAATGTCTATCTGTGCTTCATTGACTATGCAAAGTCATTTTATTTTGTAGATCACAACGAATTGTGGCTAACCCTGAGAAGAGTGGGGATCTCAGAACACATCATTGTGCCCATGTGAAACTTACATTTGGACCAGGAGGCGGTCATTAGAACAAAACAAGGAAACACTGCATGGTTCAAAATTCTAGAGAGTGCAACAGAAATGCATCCTGTCCCCATACCTTTTCAATCTGTATGTGGAACAGATCATTAGGGACCTGGACTCTATGAGGAAGAGTGTGGCATTATGCCAGTGACACAACCTTGCTTGCTGAGACTGAGGAGGACCTGAAGCGTTTACTGCAGTAAGTCAAGGACTGTAGTTTTCAATATGGATTGAAACTTAAGATAAAGAAGACAAAGATTCATGATAGATGGAGGAGAGACTGAGGATGTTAACAATTTTAGCTTGCTCGGCTCCAGAATCAGTACTCTTGGTACCAACAGTAAGAAAATCAAAAGACAAATTGCATTGTAGAAGTATGCACTCGGAGTCCTCTCCAAAGTGCTAAAGAGCAATGACATCAGTCCAGAGACTAAGGCATGCCTAACTCAAGCCACAGTCTTTGCAATTACTTGCTATGCACCAGAGAACTGGACAATGACTAAGGATGACAGAAGAAGAATAGATGCCTTTGATTTGTTGTGTTGAGGTTGAAGACTGTTGCTTTCAATAAGGATTGCATCTCAATGTCAATAAAACAAAATTCCTCAACGATGGATAAACAGGTAACATCATGATGGATGGAGAAAAGACTGATAGTGTTAGGTACTTCATCTTACTTGTATCCACAATCAATACACTAGCAGTCAGAAGATTAGGAGAGGTATTGCACTGGGAAGTCTGTGGCGAGAGACTTCTCCAAATTATTGAGGAGTAATGCTGTCACTTTGAAGACAAAGGTGCTCCTGATTTAGATCATGGGTGGTTTTTTTTTTCTTCAGTCATTTGGTATGCATTTGAAAGCTGAATAAAGAAGGATGAAGAAGAATGGATGTCTTTGAACTGTGGTGTTAGAGAAGAGTACTGAAAATCCCATGGACTGCCAAAAGAACAGATAAGTCTTGGTGAAGGTGCAGCCAGAGTGCTCCATGGAGGTAAAGATGATGAAGCGTCATCTCATACATTTTGGCCATGTTGCTAGAAAAGGTTATTCCTTGGAGAGGGACAGCATGCTTGGAAAGGTGGAGCGGCTGCTAAAGAGAGAAAGATTCTCATGTGGGTTGACACAGTGACTGTGGCCAGGGGCTTACATCTGTCAAAATGTGTGAGGATGGCATGGGATAGGACATTGTTCAGACTATTTGTTCATAGAGTCGCTCTGAGTAACACAACAGAACCTAACAATACTCTACTTAACTAATTGACATTGAGTCAGAACCATTTCTGAACTGAACCTACTCAAAATCAGTTGGCTTTCAGACACTTTACACCAAACAGGTGGAGAATGCCGATCTGTCGCCCATGGAGCAGTTGGTAGATTAAAACAGCCTGCACTGAGTTTAGCAGCACAACTCCTTAGCGACCAGAGTTCATGGCATAAGGAGATGATCAAATGAAACTTTAAATCCCCACACAACAACGATAACTATTCAGACCTCCTATAAACTAAATCCTTACGTACATCAAAACATTTTTCCAAAGACTACGTAACCTAAAGATTGGTAAAATATATTTGGTAATGACATATCTGACAAGGAACTAATATGTTTTATAGAAAATCCCAAATTTGCAGAAAACTGCAACATTTTAACAAGACAAACCACCCAGTCACAAAATGGGCAGAAGACAGGAAAAGATACTTCAACAAAGAAGACATTTAAATGGTCAAACAACATATGAAAAAATGCTCAAGATCTTTATCTATTAGAGAAATGCAAATCAAAACAAAAATGAAGTATCATCACACTCCAGCAAAGTTCAAATATATATAGTAGCCTAGTAGCAAGAAGCTGTGCTGCAATTCCGAAGGCATGTGGCTTGAACCCACCAGCTGCTCCACGAGAAGGATGGTTAATCTCCTCCTGTGTGATTAACTGCCTCTGAAAAGCCACTGGAGTGTCGGTTCCAAATCTACAGCAAACACCACAACCACCGCCACCACCACACACATGCACATATGTAATTGATATAATAATAAAAGTGTGGAGCGATTGGAAAACTAAAATACTGTTAATGGAAATGTGAAATGAAGCATCCACATGTAAATTACTCTGCTGCTTCCTTAGGAAAGTGGAAACAGGAAACCATTTGATCCAGCAATCCTATTATTAAGTACATATCCTAAAGAAATAAGAGATAAGAGTGGTATAATTCTTATACCTTAAATGAATATGTGCACACTTTACTGCAGTGTTATTTATAATAGCAAAGTGTTGGTGAGAAAAACAAGTGTCAATCAATGGACATTATCTAAGCTTACTGTGGTACAGTGAAGTATTTGTTATTGTTGTTATGTGTCATTGAGTCACCTGCAACTCATAGTGATCCTATCTATGTATGACAGCTCTGAAGTTTGCCCTATCTGAGCCAGTCTCAGTGACTCCCACACACCTACCCTCATTATCCCATTACTGTATCCATTCATCTCATCCAGGTGCTTCCTCTCCTGCACCGTCTGTTCCTCCTCTTTTACAAACATGATATCCTTCTCCAAGGACTGTACAACATGGATAAATCTAATGAAAATTATGCTGAGTGGCATAAGTCAGTCTCACAAAGACTACTGTGGTTGTTTTTGTTGTTGTTATGTGCTGTCAAGATGCCTGTGACTCATAGCGACCCTATGTACAACAGCCCTAAAACTTGCTCTATCGTGTGTCAATCCTATTGCCTCTGACACACCTACCCCCACTACCCTAGACAGTGAATCATTCCATCTCATCAAGGATCTTCCTCTCTTGTGCTGTCGCTACACTCTCCCAAGCATGACGTCCCTCTCCAAGGATTGGCCCCACCTTGAAACATATTCAAAGTATGTTAGATGAAGCTTCAGAATCCTTGCCTCCAAGGAGCAGCCTAGTCTCACCCTCTCTAGGATGAACCTGTTTGTTTTCCTAGCAGTTCATGGTATAGTCAATACTCTTCTTCAGCATCACAGCTCAAAAGCATCAATTCTCCTTCTATCATCCCCAGTCTTCGTACAGCTTTCTGATACATAGCAAGTAATTACAAAGATCATGGCCTGGATCAGGTGCACCTTAGTCTCCAGACTTATTTCATTGTTCTTCAGTACTTTAGAGAAGTATCTGACAGCAGACTTTCCCAATACAATTAATCTTTTCATTTCCTGGCTCCTAGTACCAAGAGTGTTGATTGTGGAGCCAAGCAAACTAAAGCTGTTAACAGTCTGAATCTCTTCAGTGCCATAGCACTAGTTTGTCCATTTATTGCACAGAGGTAACTTGTGGTTGATGTGATGCTAAACACTGTGACACTGATGCATCAAATGTGATAATGCTTACCCATGGTGGATAGTGTTTGGTGGAGCTCCCTGATTAAAAAAAACAAACTTGGAAGCAGATGTGGCATCCACTTCTGAAACAGCTTGCCTCCAGAAACTCTATGAACTTGGAGAAAGGATGGAAGTTATACAATTGTTCAGGTCTTTCATTTATAGGGTCGCTATGAGCCATCTATGACTCGATGGAACTTAACAACAACAACAACAGGATCTATATCTATTTAAAGTGATAATTTAAATATTTAAAATTAATATTTAGGTAAATTGAGTGAAGAGAAAGGCAATATGTATTAAGGAGTTAACTCAAGATTATAATTAGTTACATTAATTTTATAACACAAAATGACCATGAAGGATTGAAATAAAAACAAATATGATCTGTAAACTTTCACTCAAATAAAAAATTAATAATGAAATACATAAAGTGCTAAAGGGCAAGCATGTCACTTTAAAGAATAAGGGGTGCCTGACCCAAGCCATGGTATTTTCATTACTTTATATGCTTGTAAACAAGGAAGACCGAAGAAGAACTGGTGCATTTTAATTTTGATGTTGGCAAAGAATATTGACTATTTTTTATAATGCCAAAAGAACAAACAAATCTGTCTTAAACGAAATGCAGCCAGAGTTTTCCTTAGAAGCAATAACGGTGAGACTTCACATCATATAATTTGGGTGTGTTATTAGGAGAGGCCAGTCCTTGGAAAAAGGCATCCTGCATGGAAAAGTAAAGTTAGCCAAAAAATAGGAAGACCCTCAACAAGATGTATTAGCACAGTGACTGTAACAGTGGGTTTAAGCACAGCAGAGATTGTGAGGATGATTCAAGGTCAGGCAAGGTTTGTTCTTTTGTTCACCTGGTCATTGTTTATTGGAGTCAATTCAACTGCACCTGATGACAACAACAGACATAGTCCAGTACAAGAGTTCATCGATCCAACAATCCATGTTATAGAATAATTTATATAGTACATAGTTAGTAATTTGACTTGCTGTGTAAACTTTCACTGAATATTTCACTGAAAATAAATATTTAAAACAAAACCAAAACTTTATGGAGCATAATTCTGTTATGACATGCATGGACTGACCAGGAGTTAAACTCAAAATGTTGGCTACTCATTATGTTAACCCTATCAGGAAATCAATTCAGGCAAGTACTTCCCCAGGGTTAAGCAAAGAGAAACTGGACCTTACCTGAAATGGTGCTATTCTGGGAATCAGCTCATCAAAGTACTTATTTACTGCTTTGGTGAAACCTTTATATGTTGTTCTCAGTCTCATTTTTGCATCTCGTAGTAACCAGCTACGCCAGAAAAAAAACATGTGAGATCCAGACTTGGAAAGGGAAACAGCAGAAAAAAAAAGATGCACGAGGCTGGAAAAGCACACACACACACACACACACACACACACACACTCCAAATTTGCACAGACACACACGAACTTATATTGTAAGGTTTTAGTACAATTTATGTCCCAGCTACAAGAAGCTCAGCAGTGTAGCCATCACCT